TCTATTGTAAAACTGCACTGGCAAAATTTATAGATGCTTAAGAGACCATCATTTTCTCTTTGGAATAAAATCTCAAAAGGCAAAAAATGTATGCTGATGCACTGCATTTTGAATGGCAATGCCATGCACTTGAAGGAGCATAATTTGGAAGAACTTGAGATACCTTCAAGAGCTACATGTGTATGGGTAGAGAAAAAGAGAAGCAGACATCTTAAAAGCCTATAGCTCCAACTGAATTTAATGTCTGAGCAGAATGCAGCAGGTATCGACTTATCCTTCTAGTTAGAAGGTTATGTGTAACTCTCCTCTCCTCAAAGGATGCGAGGTTTTCTCTTTTTTTTAATGGAAAAAAAAGAAGTAGTACCAAGAAAACAAGGACAGTTACAAATTGTAGTCTATAAAATTCCATGCAGTGAGGTGGTTTGGTGGCAAATCAAGAACCTTATCTGAAAGCATTGTTAAAATAATTCTTGCCCAAACTTGCAGTACAGATAATTTTTAGCCTTATGGCTTGGGCATAATAGTCCATACCCAGCCATGAAAACATTACCGGTGTTTATTTAAAAGGTTGAAGTTAGATTATAAAGAAGCCACTGATCAACAAAGACAACATTCTGGTATTTTCTGGCCAACAATAGATCACTAAGCCATATGCTATTATCCATATATTCCAGTGTTTTGGAGAATAATCTTTAATAAAACTTCCACTTGGATTCCAATTACTGTTGACAAATCAAGATTGAGCATAACATCTGACTTTATTCTGTGACTTGAGAAAAATAGGATTGCATCCAGGATTCCACATATAAAGCAGGAAAACTCCTTAAAACAATTAATGGGATTTTAAAATTGCCTACTGGTATCCAATCAGAGAAGAGGAAAGCTTTTTAATATATGTAGAGTTGGTTGAAGTACGAAGCCCAGAATGACATTGACTATAGCAGAGACACATTTTGATAGCAAACAGTGCTCAAAACCCAAAGCAATCCATAGCATTGTGGCATTCTCTGGAAAGGTTGTGGATCGGTTCTATGGCATTTTTAATTTGCAGAATGATTTATGATTATTACAACCATATTAAAGGTTGATTGTGATAAGTGACTTTAACATAGAGAACTGATTGATTACCCCATTGCTGCCATCCAATCATTGCCATTTCTAACCTCACTCTTTGGTACCTGGTTCAGACATTCATTTACTACATGTAGAAGCCATAGCAAAGATGGATTGATCACAGGTATGATCACTGGCATATCTGATTACAAGTAAAATAAAAATCCTTCTGCTATGATAGAAATGGCTATCTACTCCACCAGGGTCCTGTTGGATTTTTGTTTAATTTTCATTCAATACATACCGGTATTACCCAAGAAATTATATGAATTGACCTCTGGAGAGAAAGCTAGAATGACTAGAGAAATGATAAGTACAATTACATCACATCACATCACCCATTCTTATGGCTGCTGGAAAGATACAGGATTTAAATTTGCCACCATCCCAGTCCTTGGCTTCACAGTACATCATCTGACTTCTAGGTTAAGCCCAGTCCCCTATTAACTATTAGACCAATTATTTTAAAGAACGTTTTTGCTACTCATAGTGACTACTTTCTATACAGATATTTCTATTGAGAAATACTGGATATCTCTTAAACAAAGACATATGTTTCAGAGGATTTGGAGGAAAGTTGCAGAGACTGATGGTCAGGCCTGCTGTCCCTTCTGTCCTTCATAAATGGCAATATTTGTAATAATGGTTAAATGTTTTTTTAAAAAAGGAAATCATTCATCAATATGTGTCACCACTGGGAAAACATTAATTTTCCACAGAAAGTATTAAAAGAATTCCACATTGTTTTGCGATAACAACGTTGGTTCCTAATGTGTTTTTCATTCAGGCAAAGAATGTACTTAAAATATGTATGTACAGGTCAGGTTGGTTTCTTAAATGTGTTTTAGCATTTCCAAAGCTCCAAAGCTCAACATCAGACCTCATTTTAAGGCACTGGAGATTGTGCCTGCTTATTTATCTATGTGTATGTTTTAAACACAAGAATATCATTCATGTAACTGAGAAATAAATGGAGCTTCTTAACATTAAACTACAGAGATACCATTCTGAGTTATGTGTGTGAGTGTACATATTGTATGTGTGAGTTTTGAAGACTGGCATTCCCAGCCTATGTTAGTGAAGCAATACTTTAGATTAACATCTGTTTGTAGAGCATGAGGGCTTTGCAGTAACCTGCCTTGAAGAGCCAAAACTATTTTTCTTTGAAAACAATCTACGTTCACTAAGTTGTTCAGTATATAAACAACTTTCCAGTAAGAGAGAGAGAGAGAAAGAGAGAGAGAGAGAGAGAGAGACCCTAAACTCATTGCAGCTTCCTTTTTTTCAATTTTGAAAGGTTCATAATTCCGTAAAACTTTAATGGAGTTTTGGATGATAGGCTCACTTATCTAATGAACAAAATAGGTATTTTTCAAATAAGTCTTTGCAAGCCAAAGGCCCTGTTATATTCTTACTGATATACTTCTGTTTCATCAGTTTTATTTTAGACAATAGAATGTGTAAAGAACAAGATAAAACCTGGCATGAATCCTCTGAGCTCATAACATTACATCTCTGCCCTCAAATGTTACCAATAAGTCATTTTTTTTTTCTTTTTAAATATAGCAGAGGTATAACCTTGCTGCTTAATGAAGACATGGTTGCTTCCTGAGAAGTAACATCATTCCCACCAATGACCAAGCTTTATAGCCATTGCACTTATTACATCACAAGAGCTACCCTAAGATTTGTACAGTGGGTGGAGCCAAGGCCTGGGACGGGGTAGGCATTTTTGGAGATTTTAAAAATAGGTCCTTAAGCTTGCGCAAGACAAAAGGCAAATATTTTGACCCTTAACATCCCAATACCAAAAAATAAAAACATGCACACATGACCATTTGAAAAGTTGAAAATCTTAGCCTTGCCTATTTTAGAGGGTATTGGAAAAGATGTTGGCAAACTACATTTTGTATGCCAGTACCATAGAAAATTATATTAAAGACTAAAGCAATAGTATTTTGAAAAGCTCAAGTCCTGCCAATTTTTTGTTTAAAGGCCTCTAAAGCCCTACTCAGCCCACATTTTTGATATTTGAAAGGCTTCTTTCTCCCTATTTAAACTTGCCCATTAAGAATGATTAAGAGAGACTTCTCCAGTTCTTGCCACCTTTTGACATGGACAATAGGGCTTTTCCAGAGGTGGCTGTTACATTGTGGAACTGTTTGTAGAGGCTTCTGCTACTTCCTTTTCTTTTTTACCACATTAAAAACATTCTGTTCTTCTTGGGTTAAATACCATCGTGTTGCTTTTATGAGTAGGGATCCTCTTTTTAACAGAATGATTTTGCTATTGCCTTTATTTAATCTGCTATCCATTGTTTATTTTTATGATTGTAATTTTCATTTTTGTTGATTTTGCAAAATTGCAGAATATACATTTCAGAAAAATAACAATAGAGAATTTTGGTCTGTAGGCATCAGTGGGCAGGTAGGTTTATTTTTTTTAGTGGTCTCCCCAACTTCTGCCTCAAAAATAATTCCGTCCTTGTAGGAAACTAGAGCATCTAGGAATGAACTTTCTTAAAAACTATGTGATATATTAGATAGGAGAACTTTTCAATTAGGGATGGGTTTGGGAACATGACAGCTCACCCCATTTTGGTGTGGCATATTCTAGAATGCTATTATTACTGTAAATCACCTTATTTATTTGGAGTCTTTTCACAATCAGCTATATCATTCTGTGTGTTCTGCATCTTCTTCATCAGCATTTATAATAAGGAAATACATTTAACTTTCATACAGTGATGTTCAATGGAATGATGCTACACTAGGATTTAAATATAACTTGCACTCCTGCTATTTTCAAATAGTATAAAGTTAGATCCAGCAATGTTTTCATAAGCCCTTGGCCAAAACAAGGCCAGCTGTTGGTACAAATAATTAGAAATATGAAAGGAAACCAGTTCATTCCCAGTAACATGACAACTTCCAAAGTAGTGTTTAGCTAAATGCATACAAGCTGCATCCTTATGGGCTAGTATTAGAACTGTGATGCTCTAGTACTGTATTAACATTTTCAACAAACTACATTTCCCAGAATTCATTGAAGTGATGACAGCTTAGTTGGTAAAATAAAACATCTTAAATTGATATTGTGCTCAAACAGTAGCTACTCATTGTTATTACAATGAGTAATTGGATAGCCTCAATGATATTACAACCCAGAAGGATGTTTGAGAAAATGAGCCCACCATTGCTACAGGAGAGCTGTGTAAAACATAATAGTGTTAATGATATAAAAGTGTCAGTAGTGAAAATCAAAGCCAATGAAAATATTTTTTCTTCTTGTCTGCATTTTGAATGTATCAGTTCAAATTTGATTGTAAGCATGTAGTGGTAATTTCATTGTACTTCTATACTTCTACACTGTTCAGATAAAGAAACATGTGTATAATATTTAAAAATTACATACAAGATTACGCTTATTTGCACAAACATCATTTAATATTTTCAGAATACTGTGAATGCTTTCATTTCTCTGAGCTGGCAACCACATTTTTTTTTCAAAATTTCAATGAACGAAAGGCTAATCTCCCCTTCCCTTCATCCACATGCCTCATCAAAACCCAATTATCCAAGGATGGTGTATCTGAAGAAATATGACTCAGTTGCTAAAAGCAGCCCATGTTCTTCTATTATCTGAAAAACAATGTTGATACTTTTTGACCTTAATTAAATCTGGCCACTGACAATTTGGCTCTTCAAGTAGGAAATTAAATATATTTATTGAAATGCAACTCTGAACATCACCATCATTCTCAGCCTCATCCCTACCATCATCTTATGATGCTCTAAATCTGTCAGTTGAGTTAGCCCTCCCATTTCTTCATGGCACATCATTTCAAGGTTATCCTCTGCTCAGCGTAAGGAGCAACTTCATCTTACCTTCCCAATTAAGGCAGCAAATTGGTTATTGAGAATCTTGATATCGTCTTTCTCCTTGTTCCTTATCTCCTGGAGAGTTGGGTCAACATCCAAGTGGAGTGGTTCCAAGAGATCTTCGTTGAAAGACACTCTTGGGTATGTATAATAGTAGCCATGTCCCGTGAGGCTGGAAGAACTGAAGCTTTTTTTGCTGGCTTCTCCCATGGTAAGACTGCTGCAGGCCCCATCCCTTGAAGAATGAGGAGAATGTGAAGGAGAACACTCTCTTCTCCTATAAGAGGCTTTGGGAGAAGTAAGGGAGCTGGTACTGAAGTTCCCGGAATGACTTGTCATCCTTACGATGAGGGAAAGCAAAGAAGCACTAGGTCAGCTACCGAGAGAAAGAAGAAGTAGCAGGTTGGGGAACAGCAGCTTAGATTAATTCCTGTTTCTGCTGAGCTCGGTTTAGCTAATGAATTACAAACACCTGTTCTCCCATGTTCATAAAGTCAGGAGGGTGTGACTGTTGATGTAATCCAGATCAACCTGTTGGCTTTGTCTCTCCCTCTTTCTCTTCCTCCTTCCCGCCCACCTTTTGTAGTTTTGTTTGTGAGGTGAGGCCAGGCATTTGTAGGAAAAGAGGGAGGAAAAAAAAAGCCCAAACCAAAATCATTCCCTTGCTTCCTTCTACTTCCTTCCTGAGGAGAGGAAGTTAAGAGGTTTCCTCAGCCCTTAATGGCAAACAAGAGGCTTGAACAGAGACACTATCTTGGCTGAACCTCAAGATCACCAAGAGCAGGAAACCTTAGAGAGTTTGAACATGTCAAAACATTCAGGCCCTGCTTCTTCTCCAGTGACTGTGCTGCTCATTTCTATTGTAAAATGCCAATTAAAGATTTTGCATGCTCAGGTTGTTCAGTTTCAGACCGTCTAAGTATTGAGACAGATTCCAGGCACTTTTCTGTCTGACTTGTCTAATCAAAGCTTCTTGATTAAGCTGCAAAACATACACAATTATTTCTATCTATGCTTATAGGAAGCGTGGGGATACTAATGTATTTAATCACAAGGGTTAAATTAGGCTGCAGTTAAAGATGCTTGAATAATTCAGTGTTCACAATTCCTAGTAAGAACTGAAAACATATTTGCCAGAGAGGAGTTCAACTTAAGTTAGCTATCCCTCAGATTCACAAGTGGAGTATATTTTTAAGGCAGTCTGACTTCATTAGAAAGATTACATATTTGTGGGTGGAGAAGGCTTACAAAAAGTAAACAAAAGAGGAAGCATGATAGAACAAGTAAGCATATTAAGGAAACATAGATCAAAAATGGAATTCATTTCTAAATTCATTTCTAAATCATACAAAGAACATTTGTGTCACTCTTAGAGTATTTGTGCTCTTTGTATTTCATTGAGTGTTGCATATTGCTAGTTAAATAAACTACAGACATTTCAGATGAAGTGCAAGTATTGTAATATAGTTCCGTGAGGTATTTTTTAGTCTTTTATTTTAGACTTAATCTTCATTGTTCAAAAAAGTGGTACCTCCAAAGAATATTAGGGATTACACAATACTAACTTCTTTTTTTGCTAGAAAATTAAATCATTTCCATCTTGTACTTGTGCGCCAGTGACATCATTGTGCCTCATAGAGTGTTCATATTTCCTAGAAAGATGTTTAAATCCAAATATGAACCTGATGCACTTCTATGCATGCATAACATCCCACTGAGATTAATCTGATTTAAATGTTTTTTAATTTTAACTGAATTTGACCCTATTTAAAGATTAGACTTTTAATATACAAAACCTCTGCTCCTTCACAGAATTTTAGAGAGTATATTTCCAAACATTGCCTTACATTTGTAATCATCATACAGTTCTCTGCCATTTTTCTATCTTTTTTTTTCTACCAGCATAGGATTGGTATTATATAGAAGTGTTTATCTGGAAGCATCTAAACTGAGCAATTCAAATTAAGGTGTTTTAAAGTCAGCATGCCAATAAATCCTAAAGCCTGACTAGCAGTGGCTCAGGAGAACAGGAAGAGTGCTCTTCCTGTATTTTTCGTTTAAACTGTCTCTCCATTGCACTTAATGGGAGTAATTTTAGACCAATTTCTGATCTAATCTATTCTGGATTGATATGACTACATCTAGGATCCTGAATCTAATGTAGCCTGTCTCTGCCACACTCCTTTTTGTATTTTCCATAGTTGGGATTTCATTATCTTCTAAAAATCTGATCTCTAAAGATGAACTGTACCTCAAAATCCCAAAAGTGCTTTTCCAAAAGGCAATTGACTTTCTTGAGGTTTTTTTCCCTTCAAAACATTTTGCTTCTCATCTAAAAAGTTTCTTCAGTTCTGGGTGAATGAGAATCTCCATAGATTTGCACCTCAAAAGTGTTTCTTCTCCATCCAAAATGGAGAAGAAACGTGAAACATTGGCCACCATAAAATGAAATTTTCTTGAAGATTCTTGAAGGGGTAGTTGATTATAAGGCAAAATTAGTTATAGTTTATGTGAGAAGTTAACCTGATTTCTATCTGGTCCCTTACATTTACATAATATGTAACTCTCTATTTAGCTTTATTTAATTACTATTATATATAGGGGAGAATATCTGCCAACCCCTTTGAAGTGGCTAAAAGAATTTAAGTGGAAAACAACTATTAAATACTTCATTGAGAACCTCTTTTTTTTGGATTAGTAGACATTAAAAAGACTGACATTTGTGAGCTTTTCAAAAAAATTAATTGGTCCCAGCTGCTGTTATAATAAATACATGTTGCTCTTGATAGTAATAGTAATGCACATTTGAAACCCGTGTCTTACATTGGCAAGGAAGGCTTCATATCTTCTATGACTTATTTTGCCAGTTGTATCTCACAATTTCTTGTTCCTGAAATTCAGATGTTATGGCAGTGCTTCTCAAACTTTTTACTTCATTACTTAAAATTGTTTAACAGAAAATCGTTTTTACCAAGTGTAGGTAAAAACACTTTTAAATCAAATTTAAATGTTCCTGCTGTGGGTTCATGTATTGCTACCTAAACAAAAACTACTTTTACCTACATTTGGGTAATTTACCTAGGTTTGGAAAGTACTATATTATGGACTGTTATTCTGTATTAACTGACATGGGAAGAACTTCTGCTGGAACCTTAATTGGATATTTATTTATATTCTTTTTATTTCTGGAAAGGTGATCTGTATCTCCCACCCAAAACTAAGCAATGAGATACCATGGGCCTCACTTCAAACTTTCCTGAATGCTTCCTATCCTTACCAGATACCTGAAGTTCTGTGGTGATCTTGGCAATTCAATTTTACAAAATTAGCAAGTTCTTCACAGTGCCTGTTTTTCTACTCAGTCAAAACAAAATGTTGATCATATTTTCTGTCTTACCAGTCTGAACTTGCCAAATCAGGAAAAAGGATTACCTGTCTCTTAAAAAATGCATGGCCCAAAGCTGATCTGATTATAATTAATAAATGGTAATTGATATAAAGATCTGGATTAAGTTTGACTTTTGTACACTAGTCATGGTTAAACATCAGCTCAAATCTGCTGTTCTGTGGCTTGTCACCACGAAGCATTGCAGAGAGACATGTAAAGTTCAAAACCATTGGACCAGATTGTTCTGGTCAGATCTCTGGTCTCATAATGACACCTTCAACTGGTTACACCAAGGACAATTATGATACTCCCTGGTAAAGGAGCAATGTTTCATCTTCTGCTTCTCACTGGTTTAATCCATAGAATTTTACTGGTCTGAGGTCACCTGAAATAAAAAGAATGGGATCTTGTCCAAGAATGGTTTACAAAAAGAATCATAGCTGGCAAAAGAAAGATCACTGAAAGGATTATGCGTGCAGTGGCAAAATTCTGTGTTGCTGCAATGTCTACAAGAAAAAAAATGGTTACAATTATAGTTGTCAATTTGTGCCAATTTTTGGAGATATAACAATATTTGGAAAATGATATTTACACACATACTTATTGGCTCTCCACTCATATATACCAGGGAGTGACCCTAACTGTTTGAGAACATGTATTTTCCTAGCAGGGATGTTATTATTCACTAATAATGTACTATAATGTGTTAGTACTATTTTTTTATATATTGTAAATAGTGATGTCTATTGCTGATCTAAGACTGTAATAAAGTTATATTCTATTCTGAAAGGATTATTTAATGAGAAAATAGTTATAAAATGTTGTTTTAGGCTGCTTTCTCAGGGGAATTTAGGTAAGTTAAAAGATGTATGATGCTAGTGGAGTCAAGCATAATATACAATGCCTCTGGTCTATCACTAGCTTTTGTATTTGTGTAAAATTGCAGCAGACCTAGTGAACCTAATCTACTCAAGATTCCAATGTAGGGATCCCTTAGATTGAATAACTATTTCGTACAATTAAAGAAAAAAGTATAAGAAAAATAAACCTGAAATATATATTTAAGAGCAAAAATACCTATTGAAGTCAACTGCAAAATCAGCTGGGCCTATGTGAAATGGCCGCTGCATATTCCCTTTTCCTTGACCTGGCAGAAGTTAACAATTAGTCTTCTGAATTATCAGTAATTTATTAATTATTACTAGGATGAACATCCAACAACTGAAAGAAGCTGCACTTGATAGCATAGCATGGAAAGCACTTGCCTATAGAGTTACCAAGAATCGGACATGACTGAACAGTTTAAACTACTACTACTATTTCTGAATTATCAGTCTTCAAAATTATTAGTCCACAGAATTAGGTTTTTGAATGGTTAATCCTTAATCTCTAGGCCAGGGGTCTTCAAACTTGGCAAGTTTAAAATTTGTGGACTTCAACTCCCAGAATTCCTGAGCTAACTTGATTGGAGGAGGAATTCTGGGAATTGAAGTCCACAAGTCTTAAAGCTGTGAAGTTTGAAGACCCTTACTCTAAGCTCTTACCGGATTACTTCTTTCTTTCTTTACTCTAAATCAGTGATGGTAAACTTTTGAGCTCGGCATGTCAAAAATTCAGAAAATGCCTAATGTACCTGCTGGCATTTCACTTCCCCCAAACAAAAGAGAAACAATTCTCTATCTCCCCACTCCACCACCTAGGCCACCTTGAAGCACAGCACTCAGCTACAGTGCCAAGGCTGGACCTGAAATAGAGGCCCAGGCCTTGACTTTGGCCCCTAGAGCCAGTGCTGCCATTCAAAAAGGGAAACCTTGTGCCATTACCCAGGGCATACTAGCCTACAGAAACGGTGCAATTGCCGCTCTGGGCCAGCACTCCTCAGGGTCTGCTGTGAAATGCTTATCTTCAGGCAGAATTCTCTTTTATTGACAGGACCCTGAGGCCCAGTTGAGGCTGCTCTGGACCAGAGGTGGTATTCAGCAGCAGCTGACCAGTTCTGGAGAACCAGTAGT